CCTGGATTGCAAGGAGAACAAACCTATCAATTCTAAAGGAAATCAACCCTGAGTGCTCACTGGAAGGACAGATCCTGAAGCTGAGGCTCCAATATTTTGGCCATCTCATGAGAAGACTCCCTGGAAAAGATGCTGTTTTTGGGAAAGTGTGAAGGCAGGAGGAGAAGGGGACAACAGAGAATGAGATGTTTGGACAGTGTCATCAAAGCGACCAACATGAATTTAACCCAACTCCGGGAGGCAGTGGAAGACAGGAGGGCCTGGCGTGCTCTGGTCCATGGGGTCACGAAGAGTCGGACATGACTTAACGACTAAACAACAACAACAACAACCATAAGGAGATGCATTGCATCTTTATTACAGTTCAGAGCACATTGTTCCTAAATGTGCATTTATACGTAAAAATTAGCCCATGCAAATACAATGCCAGCCTCTGTTCTCTTTTGTCCTTTCTTCTGATGACATATTTCCTTTGTTTTGGCAAATACATAAATGAGGAACTCTGGGCATGAGAGGGATGATGAGTTTATATCTGGAGATGGGTAGGGATGTGATAGATTTCAGCCATGTAAATTTTTCAGTTTTATGAAAAGGGAAGTAAGACACGTTCTATCTGGTTCTTGTGGTTGGGGAAAATCTGTTATTACTGAAACCACTGGAACATCCAAAGGGTTTTTAAAAAAGAGAGAGATACAGAATTTCTTAATAAAAGAGTTGCGTATTGAAAAGGGAAGTAATGGCCTAATTTCCAGGAAGAAATGGTGCAAGAAGCTTCTGTAAAGTATTTTGTGCTTCCTGTCTTCCCAGGGACAGTTTGGAGGAAATCTCAGATGTGGTGAAATATGGAGGAAGATACATACATACATACATACATACATACATACATACATACATACATACATACATACATACATACATACATACATACATACATACATACATACATACATACATACATACATACATACATACATTGCTGGAGTTTCTTTACAGTCTCACATGTTGCCTGGAGAAGGTGTGACTCCTGTAATTAAATCTAAGCCTATGATTGCTATCACATCTGGTTGAAATGTGCTTGAAATGAAGGGTAATTGATTCAGACCTCAAAACTCTAGTCTGGGCTCTGACTCTGCTGTTCTATCTCAGTCTGGTCTTCCCTTTCTTGACTGCAAAGAGGAGCAAACCTGCTCCTGCTAGCTACCTAGCAATTACCTGTTGGTGGAAGTGTCTTCCAGGCTCACAAAAAGTGAGCACTTTTGAGAGCGAACATCAGCATAAACACAAGGGATCTGATATGGCTGGCTTGGCTGAGATTGCATTGGCTTCCTTCCTGTTCTGCCCAGCACATTATTGATTGCTAGAGCTGTAACTTAGCATAGCCGCTGTGTTTGGCTAATCGGAGGTGCTTATATCATTGGCAACACTCCCAAGGAGCCCAGCTAATGAGATGCTGTCGGCTACAGTGTTGTGGTGAACCTTTATGGTAACTGCAGATTAATCAGGAGACCACTTCAGCAGCTGTCCAGGTGTACTCAGAGGAGATGACCGCCTTTCAGTTGCATGTAGTCAGTTGCTGCAGTTTTTGGCAGGTGTAAATGCACACATAGAACCACACACCTATTTCACCTTTGCAGTTCTCAGGAACATTGTACCAGCTTTTGATGGGTTCACAGCTTCCGTTATAATCAGCTGAAGGCAAGGTATTGCCCAAAGTGGAAAATCAAGATAGTACTCAACCACTTAGTATACATACCTGGTTTCCAGACCTTGGGAAAGTACCTTTTAGACAGGAACTCCTAGAATCAAGGACCTAGCATGGCTAGATTCCATGGTGGCAGAGGGGTTCTGATAGTTTGAACCAATGAAGAGAAACAACAACAAGAAAACAACCATCCTCCAAAAAGTTATTTTTTTCAAAGGTTGCAAGATCATCCATCACAACAGAACATCACTTCAAACCAACCGGAACAAATTATCACCTTTCAGACTGGAACTCCTAGAATCAAGGAACTAGCATGGCTAGATTCCATGGTGGCAGAGGGGTTCTGATAGTTTGAACCAATGAAGAGAAACAACAACAAGAAAACAACCATCCTCCAAAAAGTTATTTTTTTCAAAGGTTGCAAGATCATCCATCACAACAGAACATCACTTCAAACCAACCGGAACAAATTATCCAGCAGGTTACTATGGGTTCAGGTTGTGGTTTGTGACTGGTTATCAGAACAACGCTTGTTAGCATAAAATTACCATGGGTTCAGGTTGTGGTTTGTGATTGGTTATCAGAACAACGCTTGTTAGCATAGTCTAACAAGACAAATTAAAAAAAACACCCAACTCTCTCTCTCTCTCTCTCTCTCTCTTTCTCTCTTCATTTCTTAAGCACCGAAGCCAAAACAAGAAAAGAGAACACAAAGGATATGAACGCCTATTCCCCTAGCAAGAGGAGATTACTATGTGCATTCCAGAATGTGAGTGGGTTACAGAGGTTAACAACAAGTAATAACAAAGTCACAACATAGCAAATAACAACATTAAAACATAGGGGCGAAAATCAAAAATCATAAAGTGCAGTGATGACTACGGTCCGAGTGCCAAAGAGGTGCTCGTACAACGGTATGACCCAATGTTGTTATGCAACATTATGTGCATTGAAGGAGATGGGACCCAATAAAAAATATTTTGTAGTAGAGGGAGTGCTTTTCAGTGCCGGGCACTGAAGGAGATGGGACCCAATAAAAAGAGTTTGTAGTAGAGGGAGTGCTTTTCAGTGCCAAGCAGAGACCCTACAAGAAGATTCAGATTCCATTTTGGCAACCTCAAATAGCATGGAACCATTTCTCAAGCTAAAATATGGGTAGGGCCACATTTAGACAACTGTGAGAAAGAGATAACAGATGGCATCAAATAGATAAGTAACAATACATAGTGCTCCAGAGTAGTAAACACAATACTCTAAACGTTGTGACAGTATCCAAATGACACACTTGACATGTCCTGCAGCTGATTGATGTGAAAAGGAAGTTACTCAGCAATTCTTACTCTCCACCCATCCCTCTTCTAATGACTTTTACTGACACGTTGTTTCCATGTTCACGTTGTCCATTATTCCTCATCCTGTACCTTCCAAAAGACAATTCCTTTAGCAGTTCCCTAAGGGTTCCTCACTCCATAGTTCCAAGAGGCCAGGGGTTGCTGGGGAATCCACAGAAACAGGAAACGAAGCTTCCTCCATCCAGTTTCAAATGTTTAAAATCTGTTTCCTTTCTCTACCGCAAATAACATCCCCAGATGGGTGTCTGTGCAGGTTCATTGTGAAAGTGGCAGCTTGAAAGAGAAGAGGCAGAAGGAGTCTCCTGTGCAGAGGTCTATCTGAGGGAACCCGGTGAAGTTCTTATAAGGCAACAGGATGAAGAAGATATTATTGATATTGGTTTTACTATCCTTAGAGAAGAGCAGCACTGAAGCCAACTCAACTGCCGTGGTTTCGGTAACACTTGTGGATAACAAAGTGGAGACCACTTATTCTGGCTTGACTTTGGGTGAAACACAGAGCCTGAGAAATGGGTTGATCACACCCCTGCCTCCTGCTTTGGAGAGGTCAAAAGCTGTGCTGAACACAAGCCAAAAAGTGGCCGTAAAAGCCAGTTCTCCTCCAGTTACAGAAGGGATACAAGGATTGCAAACTCCAGCAGTGACACAGCAGAAGAAATCCGTACTCTCCATAAGCAGCAGTGGCCCCAACAACAGCATCAACAGCTCGCCAAACGTAAAGTCACCGTCCCTCTCTAACAGCACAAGGATTCCGGCACAGATCAGTCCGAGAAGAAGTCCTCTTCAAAGAGAAGTTCCTAAAGGAGCAACTGTGAGCAGGTTTTCCAGACAATCTGGTTATGGCAGCATCAGCAAGCCGAATGCGGATCCCAAAAAGCCCAGCTTTGAAACGACCAGGGGAAAGTAAGCAGAAACGTTTTCTTTTTTCCAAAAATCTGTTATTTTTAGTCTGCTCAATGTGTCCGTCTTGCAATGCAAATAGGAGTAAATTTGCTGGAAGTGAACATACTTCTGCTTGGCTTATGAAAGCAAGGAAAATATTATGGTTTTGTTATAGGATCTCTTTGAAAACTCCTCCTGATATTAAATATTAACAAGAAATGGTCAGTGGAAGGAACATGTTTTTAACTAAAGAGAGCTGGACACACTGAATGGCTAGAGCACAGTGATGGTGATAGCAATTGCAGTCTTGCAAATAGTTAAACAGTGGGACTCCCCTTTATTAGGAAGAAAATTAAACTGTCTTTGTGCACAGTTAAGAGAATCTATAGTGGAATGAGTCCTAATTTTTTTTAACAATAAACTAGCACAGAAGCAATGTATTTACATGCCAGCTTCACAGTCAACAGCCTGATAGTACAGTATAGCTCATCTCCAGAGATAAATTCCTTCAAAGCTCCATGTCTGAGTAATCAAATTTGCAAATGAAGCCTGTGTTAACTTCTTGATGACACATCACAGAGCAAAAGCAAGCTGGTCTATAAAGCGGAGAATTGAGGTAAGAATATCCAGGGATCTAAAGGTTCTAATGAAGTGATAGCTATACAGTATTATCTAGTCTGACCAATATACTTTCAAATCTCCAGATGATGAAACTAGAGACAAAAGACTTGGTTCTTCTTGCATCTTCCCTTCTGCTCTTTTTAAAAATAAAACATTCCATCTTTGGTGTAAGATTCCATATACAAGCACAGATTGGATGGATGAAAGAACTAGGAATGAAAAAGGCAGGAGGTCTTACTGCTGACATTTCTTTCCTAACATCATTAGCCATTTAATGTCCAGGAGCCAACCTTTAATCATATTCATTTCTCTTTCTGTTTGTCCCAAGCTTCAGTGAGTAACAATGGGCCAAGTGAGATGTGCTGTACAAGAGATGTCACCAGGTCTCACAATGTCTCCCTCTGAAACAGATAATGCATCTATATAAACACAGTTATAGCAGTTTGATGCCATGTTACCTGCCATGCATCTATTCTATGAAATCCTGGTATTTGTAGCTTGGTAAGGAACACAGAATTTTCTTTTGTAGTTCAAGGGAGGGCAGGAATGCTAACTTCCTTGCCAAACTCAAAAATCTCAAGATCCCACAGGATGGAGCCATAACAATCAAAGTGATCTCAAACAGCTATAACTGTAGCATGCGGATACACTAAAGTAAGACAAAAGTAAGCATAATACTTATTGGGAGTTGCCAGGCAGGGCTGCGTCATATTCCGAGAATATATAGAGGACTACAAATTGCCCATCCTTGCATTCACTTCTACACTACATCATTTGTGTACTAGTTCAAGTAAGAAAAACCGGTGGTTTTTAACTATTGCCACAAGAAGACTGTAATTCTAGACAAATTTGCCATGGAATAACAACAAATAGTTACATGTCATCAAGTGATTTCTGATTTATGGAGAATCTTTAGAGATTTTCCAGGTAGAGAGTACTCAGAAGTGGTTAACCATTCCCTTCTTCTGGGGGAGTCCTGGGACTGCACAGCTTGCCCAAGGCTACATAGGCTGGTTCTTCTCCCAGGAGAAACAATAGGGAATTCAATTCCCACTCATTGGCTCCACAGTTAGCTACCTAAACCACTGAGCGATCCAGCCAGCCATACTCCATTACACAGACCGAGATTTACTTCACATAAACATTCATATAATCAGGCTATAAAACATACCGTTCCCACAAACAGATAAAACAATCTACCTTAAAAATCCAGCTTTTAATAATTTTTTTTCGAATGCATTGCTGAGAATAACATGAGTAACAGCAGCAGAATTAAGCTCTTTGTTCATGTGGCTTTTGGAGGGACAATTTGTACAAATAATAAGAGCACTGAAATTCCCAGTGTTCCCCTTCTGTTTTTTTCATGCCGAAATAATAGCAATTGGCATTATATTGCAGAGATAAATTTAACATTATGAACCAAAGTGAGGTTTAGAGGATGGGAGGGAGAGAAGAATAAGCCTGGAGATACGTCCAACTGTTCCCAGAAATATTAAAGTTTCCCAGAAAGCAATATTAAAATGCCTTTTTAGAATATACCTCCCCACTAAGATGCATATTTTCTAGATTCAGGCTACAAAATGCAGAACTGATACAGCCAATTTAAAGAAGATTATTAAGGGGGAGGTGCAGAACTACCATCATTCGGGGGTGGGGAGCTATTGTTGCTACGTCTTCCTTAGACTCCATCTGGAAAAAGCTTGGTTGAGGTAATATTTGTCTATATCCTTCTCTGGTGAGCTCAAGGCAACATACATGGCTCTCTTCTTCCCACTGTATCTTCCTAACAACCCTGTGAGACAGGTCAGACTGAGACAGTGACTAGCCCAAAGTGAGTTTCATGGCTCAGTCAAGACCAAAACCCAGATCTCCCAAGTCTCAGTCACCTTAACAACCACACCACACAGCTTTTCCTCTCAGAGAAATAGTTCTGCATTTCATGGGTAGCCAGAATCAGCAAATTAATTGCTGATGTTTCAGTAAATCAGCCAACCATGGACACTCTTCTGATTAGGCAGAAGAATGAGATGCTCCCCTCAGGCTGCAGAACACCAGGCCCCTCATCACACGGAAGGACCCTGTTAACAACACTCTTGGTCTCCAGAGCTCTTCAGGCTCAAATGGCATTGCTCTCAGGGGTCTCCAGAGCAAGCATTGTGGGCAGGGTACTCTGAGAGATCATGGGACAGAAATTCCAAACACTGTGTGTTGGGAGCAGGCAGCAAAAGTGCTGAATATCTGATGGCATAGTGGTTACACTGCAGTACTGCAGTCAAGACTCTGCTCATAACCTGAGTTTGATCCTGATAGGTTCAGGTAACTGGTTCAGGGTTTATTCCACTTTCCATCCTTCCAAGATTAGTAAATTGAGTCCCCCCCAGCTCATGGGGGGGGAGTATTCATTTCTTCATTATGTTGTAAACCTCAAAGAGAGTGCTCTAAGCACTATGGGACTTAGGGTGCTCTAAGTCAAAACAATGAACAAACAGACAGACGGACAGATAGACAGACAGATGAAATAAGCAATTTGTAGGAGTAAGTGTCAGTTGACTGAAAGGGCACCTCTACTGGGTCATTTTGCAGAAGACAGAGTTTTATGTCTAGTCCAACTCCGTTTTAGAGGCAAAGAGTCCTAAAAAGGAGGAGAGAGGATGGACCAGTCACTTTGTCACAATCACCTGGTCACTATCTTTCTCACAAGGGTGAGCTGTTGCATTGCAACTCTATTTTGATTATTTTAGCTGTTATTTCAAAATCTGCACCTACATTTATGAATTCACAAAATACAATCAGAAATCTCTTTCCTGCTTGCCCTTCTTTTTGGGTGATGCTTATAAAGCCATCTCAAACTTCATTCATATCTGCAAGACTGCACCCGTACCAAAGCATAGCCATCTTGTGATGGGTCAGGGGCAACCTCCCAGAAATTTGGGGTGACCCACTCCAACATTCTGCTCCACAAACAGTGCCTACCTACACGAATGTTGCCAATCTAGAAGATTTGCACTTTGCCCACCCCTCGTGTAGAAAGTGAGCTTTGTATCAGATCTGGGTTAATTGCTGTGTATAAGAACCTTGTTTCTGAAGCTTAGTTCTTATACAGAAACGATAATGTAGGAAGATCTACCAAAGCAGTATAGTCCAGCATTCCGTCAATACCGTGGCCAGTCAACTGTGCATGGGAAACATGCGTGTGGAACAAAAGTAGCTAATTCTGGTACCAATCTCCAATTTATTATGCATTGTATGAAGATGTTACTTCCCTGTATCAGTACTGCTTCTCCCACTATTGAGCTTTAGCAAGTCGAGTCACCAGAAGAGGGGGGAAAGGCTTATCTCTATCAAATTTCTCCAAATTATGCATAATTTTATACAGTTCTCTCCTGTGTCTTCTGATTCACATTTTCCCACTAGTCAAACCATCATAAACGTTGTAACTGTTCCTCAATGGGGATCTGCTCTAGCCCCTTCATTTTCTTACAAAGGTCAAAATGGCTCTTTGAGCCTAGCTGAAATTTTGATCTTTAAAATAAAGCCGTCAAATAGGGCCTTATGAATATTCTAAGGCTATTTGGAACCCTTAAATTAAACTGGCCCTAGTTCACACAGAATTGTAGCTGCAAATGCTCAAGAAATTTCTGGTCCAGGTAACATTTAACCTCCTCCTTTTCCACCACCCTGTCTCCCTCAGCATGCAGAAAGAAGGAGCTATTATATAATCTGCAGCTGCTAAAGTCTAAGCTTTAAATAAAAATGTGGATTGCTGAAAACATACACAGTTGCTTACATCCTGCCCCCCTCCTGCAAAAACAACTAGAATTAAGTACAGGTTTTCCAAACCTCCCTCATGGGGAGAAGATTATTGGGTTTCATCAAGACATTGTGCACTTGTTTAACAAAGGGGGGAACTGTATGAAGAAGTCTAATTTGTCTCTCAGGAATCCTTTTGCTGCTACACTGAAGCTACCATGAGATTATAATTATAGGGGGAAATTATGCCTCGCTCATTTGAGTTCTTTGGTAAACTGTCTCGCTGTAACATTTTCAATATACTCCAAAGAGTATCCTCTTCTGGATGTTTGCATAAAACATTTTCATCTCAAATATGGGCCTCATTTCTCTGAAAGCATCCTTTATGTGTTTATCGTTGACAGTCCTCTTGACATTCCTGTCACACTTACCGGTGCAAACTGCACATCTTCAAGGCTTATTATATATTTCAACTTGAACGAATTAACCAGATGCTAATGAAGACAAAGGCCGGTGTTTCAAATCACTCAGCTTAGGGGTGTTGTGTATAGCCTTTTTGCCATGTTTTGTGCAAGACGCACCTGCTGCATCGTGTTCCACTTGCTCCCAGATGGAAATTTTATTAACACTCCAGGCAAGGTACAGGAAAA